CCGGACCTGGCTACTTAAAACTCATGCCAGGTGCATGTGTGTGTGCCCAAGATCCTGAGAGGAGAATGGAGAAGGGATTGCAGTGAGGCCCCCCCGGGGGGTGATTTCTTGCTTTCTGTGTCTCTGTCTCTCTCTGTGTTTCTGGTGAGCGCATGTGCCCCATGGCAAAAAAACAAAACCAAAACCGAAACCAAAACCAAAAACCAAAAAACAAAAGAACTCTCAAAAAGAAAAAGAATTATGAGGAAACTAAGAAAAGTATCTTAAGTAATTATTGGGTTGCTAAAAAAGTCATGACACATTTTTACATAGACAAACGTAGAAAAAAATGTCATGACTTTTTATGACAACCCAATAGTTTAAAATCATCTAGCTAGTATAGGTAGAGTTTAAAATAGAATTTAAACTAGTTTGACATTTTTTATATCATGCAGAATATGTTCAGTCTTTTGATTCCAAATAATGTAATATTCCACCTTGTGGAAATAGCCTTGCAAGTGGATATATAGTTACAATGCCTTAAAATTCACCCATCCTTTTCTTTCCTACTTCAAATTGGAAGATTGCAGTTTGTTACTCTTCTAGAATGCTATTTTTGTACTAAAGCATTTTGAAAGATACAAGGGAAAAGCAGTATTTGTTTTTATGGAGTACCACAGACAATTTTAAACTAAAAATATTAAACTGTCACTCCATTTAATCATTGCTGAGTGGTACACATTTGTCAAAGTGCAGTAGATCCTTTCTTAAATAGATCCTTTTATTTTATTTTCCTTTTATTCACAAGTTACATAGGGAATGATAAACATGAGCTGTCACACCGAGAATTTACTACTTAGGCCTCTAAAATAGACCCAATATAGAACTGCAAAGGGAGGGACCAGCAGTTGGCATAATGGCTATGTTGCTGGACTCCAATTTATTCATTCGCAGTTCAAGTCCCAGACCCAGTGGCTTAAACTCACGCCAGGCGCGTGTGCATACATGCCCAAGATCCCGAGAGAAGAATGGAGGAGAAGGGATTGCAGTATGGCTGTCCCCTCTGGGGGGGGGGGGGGGATTTCTCCCTTTCTGTCTCTCTGTCTCTCTCTGTGTTTCTGGTGAGTGCATGCGCCCTATAACAAAAACCTCTCAAAAACAAAACAAAACAAAGAACTGTAAAGGGAAAGGGCAGGAATGTGGCAGTGATTCTACTACATATGTCCATGCTGAGATGACACATATGATTTATGGTTCAAATTGCGTCTGATAACATCTCTGGTTTAGTTTATGGACCATATCCATTCAGTAGGCTTAGGGCTTTAGAACAATTTAATTTACCCAAGACATGTGTAGTCATAAAATTTAACAATTAAAAATGAAAATATACTCAGAGAATGGTGGTGGTAGTACTTACCCAGGAGAAAGTTGTCCAGCTGTCTTATAAGAAATCTTATAGGATGGCAATATTTTGAGAACCTTGACAAATTTAATGAAATAATGGCTTTTCTCATCATAAGTGAGAACAAACTCAACTTCCTTTTCTTTCTTCCTTATTTTTTTCTTTTTTAAAAAATTTGCTACAGAGTTTGTGCACTCACTGGAGAGAGCCAGGCAGAAAAAGGGAGAGAAAAGGAAACAGAAAGTACCCTCTCCCCCACCAGGGGGGATGGCCATGCCTCAATCCCTTCTCCTCCATTCATCTCTTGGGATTTGGGCAATGTGCCACATGTGCCCAGCATGTTTTTCAAGCTGGGCCCGGGACCTGGACCGCACTGTTGGCCATGTGGGATCCAGTCGCCTTACCTATCACATCATCAGCTGGTCCCAAACCTAATTTTCAGAGAGCATTGAAGACATATATTCTGGCCTCGTTCTCTATATATTTGGATATAAAACCAGAATTGCAAAGTATTACACTGTTAAAAACCCTATAAGTTTCCTATGGACTATGATGCATTACTTGCCATAATCAGCGTACTATTTCAAAGGGGATCTGTGTGGAATGCCAAATCTTCATTTGAAGGTTGGTAAGCCTGGACTCTGAATTTACAGGAGAGTCAATTAAATTAACTCGCCGTAAGAGAGATGGCCTTACAGATGACTGGAATCAGAAAAGTGTAAAGTCTCTTTACTTAGGTTCTTATTCCTTACTCTAGGTTTTGAGGAGCACTGCAAATACTGGCCTGAAATGAAGACTAAGCAATCTACCTTCCGGATGACTCCTTGTTTCTTTGGCTATGTTAATAGGTCCCATCAAATAACAATGCATCTACAAGTATCAGTTATTCTGTCTCTTTTTTTGTTTTTGGAGAGATTTTCACTGTAGGGCACGAGCGCTCGCCAGACAGACAGAGAGAGACATAGAGACAGAAAGCGAGAAATCACCCCCCAGGGGGGATGGTCATGCCGCAATCCCTTCTCCTCCATTCTCCTCTCGGGATCTTGGGCACGCACGCACACGCGCCCGGCGTGAGTTTTAAGCCACCGGGTCCGGGACACGAACCGCGGTCGACTACGTGGGAGTCCAGCGACATAGCCATTACGCTAACTGCTGGTTCCCTTATTCTGTCTCTTTTGAGATGGCTCTGCATGTCTGTATTTAGTTACCTCAGTATGAAGAATTTATCTTTTTATTATAAAAATATCATCTTATTTCCTTTATGCCAAATTTTTGTCTCTGTGTAACCCCTACTATTAAAACAATCTACTATAGAGTCACAATAGTCCCCTGTGGAGAGTATGTATACACACACACACACACACACACACACACATATATATATATATATATAGGATGTTTTCATAAAAACGGTAATTACTTTTTCTTTTCTTTTTTTTTAGAGGTTTTTGCTATAGGGCATGTGCGCTCGCCAGACACAGAGAGAGAGACAGAGAGACAGAAAGCAAGAAATCACGCCCCAGGGGGGATGGCCACACTGCAATCCCTTCTCCTCCATTCTCCTCTTGGGATCTTGGGCATGCACGCACACGTGGCTGGCTTAAGCCACCGGGTCCAGGACTCGAACTGTGGTCAACTACATGGGAGTCCACTGACATAGCCGTTATGCTAACTGCTGGTCCTGGCATACAATAATATTCTGACTACTATTTTAGTTTGTGTCAACCTAGAAGTTTCCCAAACATATGCCATAGGACACTGGTGACCCTCAAAATGTATATGTTGTACAAAGAAAACAGCATTCTAAATTTCCTGGTGAAATACACTTAGAAACGTACATCTGTAAAAATTTAACAGGTTAGTATATAATAAGAATTCTCATTGGCTCTTAAGGATAGTGGAAACTATATCTAGTAAGTACTAAAATAAATTAAATATTCTAAGGATTAACTCGTAAGTAGTTTTCCAATGTTTTTAAAAACAAAAAAAACAGATTCATTTCTTCAACCCAATACATGGGTTGAAGAAAATACATGAAAAAATTTATTTAATTGAAATAAAAATAATAAATAGCATCCAATGTTTGAGAATTACTGTTACACTTAAAGAGAATCAAATCAAATACTTACATTTGTAATCTTCCAATTCTGGTTCCAGATTATCATCAGTACTTAATTCTATTGCAGCATCTGCCAGGTTTTTTTCTAGTGCTGACCTAGCAAGACTTGGTAAAAACCTTAGAGGAGGGAGGTGAGAATAGAATGAAAAAGTCAAAGCTTTCTGTGATGCTTTAAGTACCTTTTAACACACACGCACACATACACACAATTTTACTATTTGCAACCAATTATAGATCAGTGTAGATTGTGGCCAGCAGGTGGCGTGGTGGTTAAGGATGCTGGACTCCCACATGGCCGACCACAGTTCAAGTCCTGAACCTGGCAGCTTGCTTTCACACTTTCCGTCTCTCTCTCTCTGTCTGTCTGTCTGTCTGTCTGTCTGTCTCTGGTCAAAATGAAAAATAAATAAATAAAGTTAAATAAAATAATTCTTAAAAAAAAAATCAGTGTAGATCTGTGAAATATAAATCATATAAAATTCTAAGATAAATACAAACATAATGTTTGTGGGACCTTCTTTAATAAGTTAAGCTTATTAGTAATTAACACTACCCATTTTTGTACACTACCCACTTCACAGAACAAGACTTAAAGTAATTTGATTTCTTAAGTGGATACAAAGTAGCTTACAAATTTCACTTATTGCTTAATAAGCTTACCGTATTTTCTTAAATAGATAAAATGACAACACTTTAGCCTATTTTTAAATTGGCAATCACAAATTCTGATGAGCGGAGATAGACTAATGAATTTTATTTTCTAACACAAATGATTAAACTTAAGATGATCGAGTTTAGTTCTTTCTTCCAAAAAAAAAAAACAACATGATCTGTTTACCTATTCCTTATGTGTGCTGTCAAAACAACAAATCTGGTAAGCGACAGGGGCTTTTTTAAACTACAAACAGATCATGAACACTGTGTGCTTAGAACATGAAACATGGTTTCTCACCCACACAAATAGTTTTATATAGAAGATGTGATCCTAAGTGAGACCACAGAAATAATTTTTACTCCACGGTTACCTGTACTATACTTGTATAAACTAACCACTATGTAATTCAATGATCTAAATAAACATGTTAAGAACATGCCGCTTCTTTCCATAGCTCGGAATCTTTGGTGGTGATTCTCATAGCCTTGAGTGGAAGCCAGAGGGCAAATGAAGAGCATGTAGAGAACTGTCAGCCTTCCTGTTCCTGTCATTTTCCAATCTACGTATTTGACACTATCTCTTACCTACTGCCTCATTTTGGTCCTGGGCTCTGATAGCAGGATTTATATAGCTCTAAGCCAGTAAGTAGTTAATCAGCTCAGCATCAAGTTAGACTTAACTGCTGCTCATTTCTGACTTTTCATCACAGTTCTTAGATTACTGTTTTGCTGTTTAAAACTAAGCCCTCACTTTATCTTCCAGACCCAATTAGGCTTTTGTATTGTTTCCTGAACCCTTGTCTTGTCATCCTGTCCAAGCATCCTATCATCAGTTTTCCATGAAGAAGTCTGGCTGGGGGACCAGCAGTTAGCATAATGGCTATGTCGCTGGACTCCCACATAGTCGACCGCGGTTTGTGTCCTGGACCCACCCGGTGGCTTAAAACTCACGCCGGGCATGTGTGCATGCGTGCCCAAGATCCTGAGAGGAGAAAGAAGGAGAAGGGATTGCAGCATGGCCAACCCCCCATAGGGGGGGATTTCTCGCTTTCTGTCTCTCTGTCTCTCTCTGTCTGTCTGGCGAGTGCATGTGCCCTATAGCAAAAACCTCTTAAAAAAAAAAAAATTCTGGCTGGTACCATCAGGCCCTTCAGCTGCACCTCCGTTACTTCCTCTAAGACTACCTGGATTGGCAATGACCACTTTCAAGCTTAGAACTGTTTACTGTCCTCAGACATTCCTGATATCTATACAGTCTGTTTGTCAACACATTGTGACATTGATCCCACACTGGAACATTTATTGATTGCCCTCCAAAGCCTGTGAAGGAAGCAAATAAGGCATATATACCTCCCTTTCTATGGCAGTGACAGGCATTGTTTGCTAATATGGCATTCATTCCT